GATCTACACACTTCAAGGAAGATGAATCCACAAGAAATTTGATGAATGCACGAAGGAGGTGAGAGAATCGAAGAAAACTTCAGCAAGAGGAAGACAAGTTCATATCTGAATTTTTTATAACTGGGGCGTGTGTAGTATGAAATGAGGCTAGCAGTACATTACATAGAGTGAGTAGAGAAGGTTAGAAGAGGAAATTGATCCTCAAAACTCTTAGAGGGCCGGATTGGAAAAAATTTCCAAAAATTGAGTGCATATGGGCTTATGCATTTTTCTTAGTCCATAAGGAAGAAAGCCTAAAAGCTACAAGTCCTAACTTGTTGAGGAGAGTAAGTGTTGATGAATTGGCCCTTCTTGGAAACTTTGAGAATTTTAAATGCAAGCAAGTACCATGGCCCATGGGACACGGAATGGCTGGCATAAGGGCCTCACAAAGCCACAAATAGGTCATGGTCTATATTAGAAACAAAGAGAATGTATGCAAATAAATTTTGCAAGAAATTGCATTTTGCTTGCTTGGCCAAAATTGAATAAAATGGCATGAAATTCAAAAGGCCATAACATGCTCATCCTTTAGAATTAGGACACAAATGAGTACTACTTGGAAAGGTATTGAAGAGCTTTAGACCTTTGTAGTTTTTAGTTTTCTCAATTGGATCCATTAAAGCCTTAAAAAATTGGCATGAAAGTCACTAAATTTTGAAAATGACCTATAATTTTCACACATGACCATGTGTCCTAAACTTCATAAATCTCCACCCTTGCATGTTTTTCTTTTAGTAAAAGAAGAAAAGTTGTAGAGCTCTCTCTTATCTTTTCAAGCATATAAGATTTGCAATTTTTGGATCAAGCATGAATAAATTATAAAATTTTGAAGTTAGGTGCAAAATTTCCATTTTTAGTAACTTTCCAAGTTTCTTCATGAACAAGTTACATCCCAATTTCATTTCCTCTTGACCTTGTGATGCAAATGAGTTTGAAAAATGAAAATATAATGTTTGAATGAATGGTTGACCAAAATTTCAATTGGTCAACCATTTACTTTAACTGATTATGGCCAAAATGACCATTTTGCCCCTTCTAGACAATTGAACCATTTCCAATCCAAATTGAGCCTCAATGTTTATTCCAAAGAAGCTTAGTATCATGTAGTGAAGCATGGAAACAAGTTTGAGTGAAAAAGTCATAGAAAAATTGATTAAATCCAAAACCCTAATTTGCACTTTGTGTAAGGAGATAGCTGATCAAGCCCCAAAACCCTAATTCCACCGGGCATCGTGAGAGACTCCTTGAACAAATTTGATTCACATGATGATAAGAGAATGATGCTTCATAACTTGGCTCATCTAAACCCCAATCACTTCAACTTGGACAAAATCTTAATTTTGATTGAAGAATCAAAAGAATGTGATTCTCCTTCAAATCAACACAATCTTTAACCCTATGATGAATTAATGAAATAGATGAAAGGGTCTTGAGACATCCAAAGTTTAAGAGAAAGAGCTCCTTTCTTACACCAAATGTTAACACTATCAACCAACACCACTTGTAGACAGCCTGAGAACCAAAGTACCTTGATCCCATCATAAGAGAATGAATGCAATACAATATGATATTTATGATGAAACATAAGTCTGAATCAAGAGGGTAAATTTTGGGGTGCAACGAAGTGAACACGCTAAAATCTAACATTAAGATCCTAATTTATACTACTTCGACCATAATGATCTTTCACTATAAAAGTGTCACGTTTGAAGCTGCATGCTTCCTTTAAACCTCAGACCTCCATGTGTCCTTATGGATAAGAACAAAGTATTTGAAAACAAATCTGTATTCGATTCAAAGCGCCAAACACCACAACATGATCTGTCAAATTATTAGAATTTGAAACTTGAAATATCTTTAAGTCTTGAAATATCTTTAAGTCTTATACATTCCATAATAATAAGACTTCACTAATACTTTAGTAATTCTCAACCCTTATTTGGTCAGTCAGTCGAAAACCATAGGTAACAACCTTCACATTTCCTTTGTAAAATTTAAACTTTCTTCTATATCCTTTTATTTATCCCTTATTATATATCGTCGAAATTCCAGCCAAAAGAGCCTAGAAAATGATTAACATTCATCATAAAACTCATCATTCCACCGGAATACTCTTGAGCCCCGCCGACAACAAACTCGTTCGCTGCTGTAACTACGGCCCCAGATCGGCTGGAATTGCATGAATCCCCGGCTCGACCTCACCCTCTCGTCGGCGATGACATCTGAAAGTGGCACAACCACCGTCAAACACCAACAATCGCCAGAGCAACGCTCACTCTAACTAAATCCATCTTATCTGCATGCACTCTAAGCAAAAACAGAGCTAAATCTAACTTAAAATGAAGAGAAACAAAAAGCTTATGTGGTCACAGAGGCTGAAACTATGGTCGGGCGCTTCTATTACGACAGTGGACAAATGCGACAGCGGCTGGAACGTTAAGAGCAGGCGAAAGTGAAAAACTGGCGAAAAGTGAAAATGAGCTTCGTCACGCTTGTTCATGACCGCTTCTCTGCTCAAAGTAAGAACTAGTTCTAGGCATCTCTGCTTGTTACAACGACTAGTTCCTGACAATTACCTATTTTTGAGAACTAATATCCAGGCCCAAAAATAGAAACCAATGGCCAAACGCCGGGGCACTATATAAACTCTCACACTTGTGAGGGTCAGGAACTCAATATCCAATATTCATTTTTAAAATACTAAAAATCTCTTTTGTATCTCTTTATACTCTTACTTACTTGAGTATCAGAGTGTCTTGTAGGTACACTCCCTCCTCCTCATTTCCAATATTGCAGATGTAAATATTGACCCATTACAGGTTCTTATCACCGGTAAGATCAATCCTTCATAATGAAATTTAACTATTATTATTATTATTATTATTATTATTATTATTATTATTATTATTATTATTATTATTATTATTGAAAAAAATTAAAAAGCAACTATTTTATAGAAATCTTTTAAAAAATTAAATACGAAACAAAAATATTTAGAGGCTCGAAATCATAGCTAAAAAGTATTTAATGAGGAAAGATGTAAGATAATTTTAAAATTTGAATCATTTAATAGAAAGTAATATCTTTTGTCTCTTTCTTAAGAAAAGATATAGTAAAATAAAGTCTAGTATTGAAAATGAAAAAACAAATTAGTAACATAATGAGATATATGAGGTAATACAAAATCTAAAATTTTAATGAGAAAGATGTAAGATAATTTTTAAAATAGAATCATTTAAAAGAAATTAAAATCTTTTGTCTCTTTCTTAAGAAAAGAGATAATAAATAAAGTCTAATAATGCAAATGGTAAAACAAATTAGTAAAATGATGGGATATATGATATAATAAAAAATCTAAACGTCATTTTATATTTAAGTCTTCATATAGTTTAAAAACATTTTTCTATTCTATATATCTTTTAATAATATGTTTCTTATTTTTTAATTTTTTAAGTTTTTTAAAGATTATTCTATAAAATTTTACTTATATGTCAGTCATAATTTGATAAAAGAAGTGACACAGTACAAAGTTAATAAAATGTTTGGATTGTAGGGATGTCAATGAATAGGATTTGAATATGGTACTATAGTATAGTGTTCACAGCGGAGTTTGAAAAAAAATTATCTTTAAATCTACACCTGAGTGGGCACTAATATTTGTGTTTATAAGTTCGTAAGTATTCATATCCATATTGTTTACTGGTATTTGTAATAAAAATAATCAATCAGCTATAATTTATCATATCATTTCAATTTTTTTTACACCAATATTAAAAAAATTCAAGAATATTATTGTTGAGTTAAGAAACAAACAAACATTTATATTAAAATTGATATATTTAATAAAATTGAAAAATTAACATAGGTATATAATAATAAAAATAAAACTATTTAAATATATTTTGTGCGGGATGAAGCAACAATGTTTTAAAAACCGAGCCGAAGAAAGAACCGTTAAAACATGCGAGTCAAGGTTCAATCGATTCAACCGGTTAAGCCGTGGTTGAACCATATATAAAATTTAAACTATGAATAACAAATCAGAAAATTAATTAAGGATCAATATTTATATATGAGTCCTAATTGCTTAATTTAAAGCCACAAGTTATTCATCAGTATAATTTTTCACATATTTTTCAAAACCAACATCAGTTATCCCATGCCCACAAACATTACATTATTTTTTCTTCTATTTACATTTACATTATCTCATATCTTCCAATTTTATTCTTTATTTTCCATCTATACAATTTTAAATGTTTACTATAACTTAGTAAAACATAAATAAAAAAAATCTTTGATTTTTTGAACCGTCTAGTTCACCAAAATTGGTTGCGATTTAACAATTATTTTGGTTTTCGTGATTGAAGCAATTGTATCACAATTTTATAGGCTTAACCGTTTATTGATTCAAACGGAACCAGATTAGACAACGGTTCAAGGTTGAACCAGTTCAACCGGATGGTTCAATCTGGTTTTTAAAACATTGTGAAGTAGGATGTGTGATAAGGTACTCGTACTCGCATCCATATCCTCTTATATTAGTGAATAATTTCCCCTATACCCATACCTATTTTGTGGATTCTTACCCTACACGTTGTGAATCATTTTTGCAGTACTCACTAGAGATGAGTCCAACAGATCCAGCCAATATTTTACATCAAAGTTATTCGAATATATTAAAAACATAACTATAAATTCATCTTCACATGATTGAAAAATATTAGAGTATAAAAAATCCAATTTCTAAAACAAGGTTTCTCATTTTCTATGTTGCTGCCATTTATTCTTATGTGTTGTCAGTAATTGCAAAATCCTCAAGTGAAAAGAAAAATAATTACATATCCGATGATCTTGCATTATTCATTTTATCAAAACTATCTTTAAAGTATTTGAAACGATTTAGATGCGTACGCAAAATATATTTTGGCTTATTTGAAAACCCTAGTTTTATGACTATGTTTCACACTAATTTTATATCCATTTCTCACTCATACTACAATAATACTTCTCTGGTCCTAAACAAATATGTTTATGATCATAATAATAGAGTTTGGATCTCTTTGTATTTACTTTCTAGTGAGAGGTTTGAGAATAGATTCAAATTAGACTATCCAAATCCATTTAAAAATGAGGTACCTCAATTTCATATTTTGAACTCTAGTAGTATTACTGGAATTCTTTGTCTTTACTTATCCAATGAAATTTTACTATGGAACCCAACTACGGATGAATTTAAAGTCATTCCTCATAGCTCTGTGGTTGATGTTGTACCACCCTATCTTCCAATGGATGAACATTTTATGCTTCCTCCCGGTGTAAAATGGAAGATATCGCATGGTCAAGAAGAGGTGTATCCTATGAGCCCGTATGGGAGATTTATAGTTTAAGATGTAACTTATGGAGACAAACTGATGTTGCAATTCCTACATGTTGTTGCACTTGGTTTTAAATAGTGATAGATTATACATGGATGGAATATGTCACTGGCTTTCTAAATGTCAAAAAAATAGGTGTGTTTTACAACACTCATTCCCTTAGACATAAATACAGATGACAAATGTTTGGTGGAGTGAAAATTGTTGATGCTAAATGGAGCCATTGCTTCTATTTCATGGTATTATGATACCATTATTTTTCACGTATCACTTTTAGGAAAACTCGGTATGAAAGAATCATGGACTAAACTCTTTGTTATTAAACTCTATCCCGATATAGAATATCCTGCTGGAGCTTTGATGTGCTTTAGATTCCTCCTGCTCATGAATGGATAAAAGCGAATTTTGATGGTGTGGCTATCAGGATTCCGACTCAGTGTGTTTATGGGGCGATGTTTCATAATTCTAATGGCGACCATATGGGGTCTTTCTCTTTCTTTATTGGTGCCGATAATTCTCTTCTTGCGAAGTTCATGGGGGCGATTATGGTGATGGAGGTTGCTCTTGACAAGAATTGGGACAACCTTTAGATTGAGTCTGACTCCTTAATTGTGGTTAGGGAGTTCCACAATTCAAGACTTGTCCCTTGGTCTATCAAGAGTCTTTGGATAAATTTCATGTACTATTTTCGAAATCGTGGGCTCATGTTTATTCATATTTTCAGGGAGGGTAACTCTTCTGCTGATATTCTTGCTAGTAGGGATTTTAGCAATAAGTCTCATACTTGGTATAATCATGTTATCATATAATCATCTTATTTTCGAAATCGTGGGCTCATGTTATAATATTTTTTTTTAATTTTTAAGTTTTTTAAAGATTATTTTAAAAAATTTCATTTATATGCCAGTCATAATTTGATAAAAGAAGCGAGGTGGTACAAAGCTAATAAAAATGTTTGGATTGTAGAGATGTCAATGAATAGGGTTTGAACATGGTACTATAGTATTAGTGTTCATAGCATAGTTTGAAAATTTTATATCTCCAAGTCCATACTCGTGTGGGCACCAATATTTATGTTTATAAATACGTAAGTACCCATATCTGTATCATTTATTGGTATTTGAAAAAATAATCGATCAACTATAGTTCAACATGTCATTTTAAATTTTTTTCAACAATATTAAACAAATTAAAATTTGAGCCTTTACTTTATTTAAGTTTAATCCTGATTAAAATTTGAATTGGAGATGAGATTGAAGTGAAGGAAGTGTTTGGATTTGAATTGGAGAAGAAATTGAATTGAAGGAAGTGTTTGGATTTGAATTGGAGATGAGATTACTTTGAAGGTTTTCATATTGTTTATTGTTCTAGGAGTGGTAAGGAGAGAGTTGGAGGTCTGGTTCTCCTTTGGAAGGAGAGTTTCAATCTTAGCATTCTATCCTTCTAAAAAATAATCATATTGGGGGTTATTTTACAGACGATGGTGACAATATCGTCTGGCATTTCAATGGGATCTATGGACACCCAGAAGAAATCAACAGAAGGAAGACATGGTGTCTTATCCAGGAGGAATTTCAAAGAAGTGAAGGCAGGTTCTTTTGTTTTGGAGATCTTAACGACACGCATCTTTATAAGGAAAAAAAGGGAGGCATTCGCAGATCCACTAGACAATTCTCTTGGGGCCAGAAAACTATTAATTCATATGGTCTAATTGATTTGAGCTATGGGGGTTATCCCTTTACTTGGACCAACGGCATGGGGGTATCGATAATATCCAGTGCAGACTAGACAGAGCTCTTGCTTCTGGTTCTTTCATCAACAAATTCTCACCTATCAAGGTGAGCCATTTGGGGAGTTATGGTTCTGATCACGTGGCTCTTAGAATCACATTAGAAGACGAGGCATGTACAAAGGAGAGAAGTAGGAAACATGTCTTTCTCTTTGAGGAGGCTTGGAGTAGGAACCCTAGATGTGAAAAAGCCATTAAATCTTTGTGGAACAACTCTTCTGTGAGGGGAAGCAATAAGTTTGAGGCTTTGAAAGAACTCGATGAGATTTTTAAGGAGTACAGATCGAGTATGATTGATAAGGAGCTGAGACGTGTCGAAGAGCTGCTGAAAGATGATAATTGTTGGGATGTTGGAGGTGATGATTTAAAGTCTTTTAGGGTGTTGGAAGGGCAGCGTGATAATTTGCTTCACAATCAAGAAATCATTTGGAGGCAAAGAAATTGAGCTTTGTGGCTTTGTAGTGGGGACAAAAAAATGAAGTTCTTCCACGAGAAAGCTAGCCAAAGGAGATAGACCAACATGATAAAGAGACTGAAGGACGAGAATGGTTTTTGGTGGCGTGGAGATGAACACTGTGAAAGGCTGGTTGGAGAGTATTTCTCAGAATTTTTTTTTACCTCAAACCCTTCTAATATGGAAGACGTTGTTTCAGTGGTTCAAGGAAGATTAAAACCTCATCATGTCTCTTGGTATGCTGTAAGGTTTATACACATGGAGGTTAAGGAGGCTTTGTTCCAAATGCAACCACTGAAGGCTCCTGGTCCTGATGGATTGTCAGTCCTTTTCTCTCAAAAGTATTGGAACATTGTTGGTCCAGAGGTGAGGTGAGTAACTTGGTCCTGGATGTAAGTACGAAGTGCGCCTAAGAGGGGGGGGGGGGGGGGGGGGGTGAATTAGGTACTTTTAAAAATTCTGGTTTTTAGTGATGATGGTTCTTATTTTTCTGGTAATAAGTGAGTTTAGGAAAGCTTAAAGATGCAGAAAAATTAAGAGACACGGGGGATATATCCTGGTTCCCCTCACAGTCCGAGAGTACTCCAGTCCTCTTTCAACATGAAAGAGATTTCCTTATTGTGGCAAACTTACATAAGAACTACCAACCAAAACCAAGAACAATCCTCTTAGACCAAGAACAATCCTCTTGGATTTTCACTAAGTTACCTATGAGAACAATCCTCTCAGTGTAACTACAATTGTATCCAACAACTTGGAAAGACAAGATTTCAATAAAAACACTTAAACTTAATTCCAACAATCCTGGAAAGTAAGTAAGTAAAAACAATTTGTGAGTTTGAGTGAGTAGAGTATATTGATAACTTAAGAGTGATTTTGACAATGTATAATCTTATTCTTTCAATAATAATATTGTAAAAAGACTCAAGATATATTTGCTCAAAGTTTTCTGTTTTAAGGTATGAAAATAAATGCAGAAAACTTATGCATGAAAGTGAAGAATGCTTGAGTTTTTATTTTTAAATTTCAGAAAAATATTATGAAAGAAGGTGTTTGATATGAATTTGAAGTTGAATATTTATATGTTCAAAACACCCTTTTGAAACATCATGAAGATCTGGAAATGTATCATGAACAAATGCCAAATTTGAGTGAAAAGATGTAATGAAAAGGCATGATCAAAAGGCATGAACAAAGCTGTTATTTTTCAAATTCGTGCAGTGTGTAATCAATTGCACCTTTAGTGTAATCGATTGCACAAGGTTTTCAACAGCTATATTTTCAAAAATTTAAGAGTGTAATCGATTGCATAAACAATGTAGTCGATTGCAGGCTAAGTCAGTAGCAAAATTTAACTGAGTGCAATCGATTGCACCAACTATGTAATCGATTGCATGCTAAGACATAATCAAATGTTTTGAAAATTTTAAGTGTGCAATCGATTGCACAAACTATGTAATCGATTGCATCAAGAAACAAAAGCAAAAGATTTGGAATTTTTGAAGAGTGCAATTGATTGCACTAAAATGTAAATCGATTGCATGCATATGAAAAGTGAAAAATAATCTTTGTAAAGCTTGAGAATGATTCTTAAACTATTTCTTTTTCATTTTTGAACATCTATATCTTAAGATCAAAGTAGATGATATTATTATACCTTTAAAGTTGTAGAGATCTTTGATTGAAGATATTATCCTTAGATGCTTAGATGCATGACCAAAGTCTTTGCCTTCTTTTGTAAGCCATGGTTTGTCTTCATCAAAACAAAAGCTTTATTTGAGAAGCTTGATTTCACATTCTCCCCCTTTTTGATGATGACAAACAATCTTTCTTTATGCGAAGTACTTTCCGGAAGAGCTTCTCCCCCTGAGATGCAAAACTCCCCCTATGTAGGAGAGGGTTGTAATCCTTACAATTCTTCATCTTGAATGGAGAGTACCTTGAAAAATAAGACATGGAAGATACAAGCATAAAGTACCATACATCTTTCTCCCCCTTTGACATTATCAAAAAGAAGGGAAAGATGCTTCAAGCAAATAATAATTGAGCAATATTGTAAACAAATGATAGAATTAAAGCATTAACAAACATTGTTTAAGAGTTACACACATTGAACAAAAGAGACACTGAAAGATAACAACATAACAGACAAAAAAACAATAGTAGCCAGAACATTAGGGGTGATGAATGTCTGGATGGTTGTGAGGCCATGAGCCCTGGTTGGGAAATTGTTGTTGCAGTGGAGGTTCTGTGTAATGAGGAGGAGGTGCAGCTGGGTTGTTTGGGTCATATGGTGGGATATGCAGGTGAGAATAAAGATATGAGAATTGTTGGTTCACATCCAAGCGAAAATAATTTATCCGGGTTATAGTGGAGTCATTTATTTCATTCCATTGACTGTTGATGTTGGTGTTCATAGAAGCAAACTGTTGAGCCATGTAGTCCATGAGTTCTTGGTTTCTTGGACCAGAGGGAGCAGTAGGGGGAGGAGGCATAGCTTCACCGCCTTCAGCTTCTTGGTCATCATCTTCGTTGCCAACAACATCTTCACCAATATAGGTGATCGTCTTTGTTTCCGGATTAAAGTGTACGCCCATCCTTGAATCAACATTCTTAATTGAAATTCTGTTTAAAATAGGGTCCATATCCACCTTTTCAAAACCGCGAAAATCTACACAAAAATCCTCCATAATCAATGTGACAAAATAAGCATATGGAAGAAATTTTGATTTTTCATCCACTCTCAGCATATGCATCATCATCATCATTCTTTCCCAGTTTACATTAATCCCTTTCTTCCTTGCATAAATAAGCTGCATCTCGAAGTCGGTAACCGTGCAATGGTTTCCAGCCCTTGGGAAAAGTATATAGACCAGGAAATAATGAAATAAGCGATCGTCTATATAGAGGTTACCTGCACTCCAAGAATCTCTGGAGGGAATTACTCCGCCAAGACCACATATCCGTTTGGCGCGAAATTCAGCTTCACTTAACCGCCCAATGCTGTAAAAGAATCCCTTTTTCGTATAGCCATCCCATATTTCGTCTTCAGGATCATATAGGACGCTTCCGGTGAAAGGAATATGCAAGATCTCACCAACAACCTGAGGAGTCATAGAGATACGTGTGCCTAGCACATATGTGACAATATTTTCCTTGTAGGGGGTTAGATTACTGAAAAACATTCTTACCAGATCTGGGTAGTATGGACCGTACGAAGAAATCAATGGTTCCAGACCATAAGCAGCTAGATCATTCTGAAATGAAAAACATTCTTCAGGGAAGGAGGAGAGAATACCATACTTAGGGTTGGAAACAATTTTCCTTTGGAAGTCTTTGACAAATCT